TGATGCTTTCAATTGAGGTCTCGTTAAGGCTTTTAAATATTAACTATAAATAGGTATCCAATATCGAATTCTCAAATCATTTCGTTCACAATAAGCTAATTATTTTCTCACTTTGATATTAATGCTCAATTATAAATACAGCTATTTCACCTTTGAGACGACTTAAAAAACTTAAAAACATCTTTAAAAACTTGGCAGTAACGTGAAATACACAAACCTCTCAACAAGCGCTAAAGGCATTCCTCACGAAAGCGTTCACTGACCTAATGTTTTTTCACCCCACGCCACGTTAGTAAAACAGGCAATTTACGCGAGCCTATAAGTAACAAGATTCATTAAGGCTGTTACAAAGTGGCGCGGCCGTTCTTAAAGCGAATGGCCCTCGAGCTTGCAGCGTTCATAATGGCCGTACGAGCCGGCCGAGGCGCCGCGCGCAATTTAATGAAACACCTGGAGAGGTCGCGCCTGCTTCCGTTGCATTAATCTCGCACCCGTGGTCCCCGCGGCCGACGGGCGCCTCCACGACCTAAACAGAACTACCGCCACATTCATTTGCTAATTATATTCTACAATGTGTTTGCATACGTAACCTTTATGATAGTTTCGAGTCTTAAGCTTCGAAATATCCGTTTAAAAGTGGCCAACTAATATTAAAGCCGGGATAAACAAGGAGTGACCGTGCGGCGGGCGCTGGCCGGCGGCAACGGCAAAAGTGGCTGAGATAACTCCGTGCACGAATGCATATTTTAACGTTAAGCTACGGTACCGCCATGCAAACTTGTTGGGAACTTCACTGGACTGAATAATTCTTACTTTAAGGCTGCCACGAAGTTTTTTTTCGTCGAGGGAAGACTCCACGACGCACACCTACATATAACCGCAATAATTATGTGAGCATGAAAACTAATTACATTAATTCACTATTAGCGCGAGCTCGGAGTTTCTTTAGTAAAAAAACATGGAAAAGATTAAAATACACCTAAGTTGTAGGTAAATACCAACAAAATCAGTTTTTCAGACACCGCGCCGTGTAAACGTAAATAACAAAAAGTTTGTTGCTTAATTATTATCCCTAAAATAACTTTCTGGGTTGTGGCTTTAATTCGTACTCCGTTAACTAAGAAAATCTATAAATAGCACAAGTCGTTCTAACCTGCTATCGATTAATTGAAACATAAAAACAGCTGATGTCGTTACTGTCAGAGTGTGCAACCAATGTGTGGTGCTTCGTTATAAGGTGACATTGGAATAGCCCGTTTTAGACACTTTTGTCAATATTGATGTGTGTCTATTTGAAGTCAATTAGATGGGTAATAGCTAATTATTCCGTGTAGTAGGCGTGTTCTACATTACGTCAGCAATAAGCGCGGCGGGCGGCGGCGCCGCCCAGAGGCCGCGATAAAAAATACGCGCTGAGCGGCAAGCGTAAACACGCGCCCCTCTCGCATGACGCCTCATTAGCCACTCCCCTGTGCTTCTATAAATCATTTTAAATTCAAATTCTACTTACTTTCAGAATTGACTTTGCTTACCTAATTCCCTTCCCGACCACAAAATTTTGCAAATTAGATTTCACCTTTCCCTCGCTCTGACTTGTCGAAAAATTATTTGTGGCATCCGGCGCCGGATCTTAGTCTGCTCGTGATCATGTCTACCTTTATCACCCAGTGCCTACAGCACCTTTTAATTCCCTCTTCTCTTCGGGATACGGACTACGTAATCCATCTTGCCCTCCCTTTCATTCATAAAACGCCTATTTCAATGCTAATGTGTTGCAGAATACTGTAGTTTTGAGTGCTTGTCTAATTTAAGTACTCGATAGACAGTAAGCAAGCAAAGACTTGCAATTGTTTTTATATTAATAATATAAAAAACAATTGTGTTCGTAATGTTGTGTCCGCACCTGTATGTGTGGGCCACGTGTCGCGTGTGCGATGCCCACACGATGCAGGAGCTGGCACGACTCATCGGCCGGTGCTATTTCCGTCTGTCCCCAAATATTTCTGGCACACACTTGGTGCGTACAAGTGGACTCCGAGCTGTTTCGCGACGAGAGTGTGTCATTCATCGGCTCGTTACCTCATTGTTTTCCTCGTGTGTCGATATATCCCGACGCGTGTCGCCCGCCCAATAGTAAAATAGACGAGTAAAGATCGGCATGTGCGTACGGCTGACCACGCACCGTCGCGCGTCGATGCCGTGTCACCGATACATCAATCGTGATCGAACGTTCTAATCGATTAACGACCGCACGCCTCGTCTGATGTGTGCATTCTTCATGTTCTGTCCGGCTGATTGCTGTGTTGTTAATGTTTATTTTCTTTGTAATGCAATTATTGTACTAATATTATAAACGTAAAGGATGGATGTTTCTTAAGTTTTACGTGAAATTTAGAACAGAGACAGATTATAGTCTGAAATAACACATGTGCTGCTTTCTACCGGGGGGTATAAAACCACTGGCAGAAAGTAGTGGGGTGTATTTTGTTTTTTTTTTTAATTTTTGAGTATTGCATCTATTTAGATGAAAAAGGTTTAACAAGTCCTGTTCTCGTATATAACACACACATTTAGGTCGTTAGCAAACTCGTCACAGACAAAACCAATGAGGTCATTCGTACCTTCCCTAATGAGTGAGGCTGGCTGAAAATATTCTTAGTTTTTGGTCTTGAAAATAGAAGAGGTGGCATTTGGCAGCGTGGCTGGCGCGATGGAGTAACAAGGTGTGGCGCGTGCCGACTGCCGGCGGACGCCGTTACTTTCGAGGGTTGTTCGTTATACACGTCATAGTTCCCGAGAGCACTCCGCCGCCTTACTGCTCTCACCTTAACGAGACAAGCGTCTCGCTTCATTGACGTCGTTTTCGCTTTAATCGGGCACCAGTGCCAAGTCACGATGAGATATACTCATCTCCAAATTCGTGTCGTTGCTTTCTGTATTCGGTATTCGGCACATTACTTTCTCATTGAACACAGCTTCTTTTTCTCTTGGATCCCAAAGCAGTGATGAAACTGACTCTCGGCTAACCCCTTATTGTATTGCAAGTGCGCATTGTTGTGTTATAAAGGACACGGAGAGGGCTAGAGGGATAGCGCGCTCGGTTTGCTCCTCCACTATCACACAAAAATGTTATTAGTTTTGGGCGGTTATTGCCCACCCTGCGCTCGTACGACCCTCCCGATGCCCTTCCCGAACAAATAGGCCATATTGAAAGTTTTTGTTTAATTTTCTGGATTTCATAGAAGCAATCTCACGGTAACGTACGCTTCGTATCTTTATTTGTTTAGTCTTTGTCATTACATGTAGGGATTATAACCTGTACCGGTATTATGTCTCAGTACACAAAAAGTTACAACTAAATTTAAAGCAAGATTGCACTTTAAGCTTAAAATAAAAGCCCGTGAATGAACAAAAGCCATATTAAACGAACAAATGCAGAGGCATAGTGATCGAAGAGCAATTAATGTGTCGTAATGCGTTTGGCGAGCGAGCGTGGCGCGGTCATCCGTCTGAGGTGGCCGGCCATTTGTATCCGCGAGGGCATCCGTCACGCTAATCGCCGCGCCGATACACCTGCAGTGCCATGCAATCGATACACATTATTTCTATATATCCCTATGCAATATTTAGGGGATTTAACCATTGCCTACGGTATTGTATCTCTCTACATTCATATCTAACCACAAGAACGTTAAACTGAATTTAACCAATACGAATGCAGTTGAATGGTTCCAACAATAAACTTATCTCAAACGTTTCCCAAACTGTAGCAGCTAATAAATAGAAGTTTGATAAACCCAACAGAGTTATCACAGTAATGATGAAACGTGATCACCCATTCAAGTTTCACAAACGGGTTGGTTCGAATCGAAACTCGGCTAAAGTAGACGGCACGGAGTAACAGGAAATAATAACTTTATCCCGAGCTTAAACTGTGAGAGGACCGTCCAACTAACATTATGCCTGCCAGTAACAAGTTAATCTAAATGCAGCCGACTGCTTCCACTAGCTAGTTGTAGCACGCATCGCCGAAGTTTAATAACTGAGAAAATTCGGAACATGTCTGCATCTGATTCAGCTGAAGCCAAAGATTCACACTTCACGATGTTTACGCTCGCGGTGTCCTGTTTCAACTTACGTAGATATAAACGTCTGCAGGATAGTGATATCATCGGGCATGCTTTATAAAAGTTACTCACTAAATCACCCCAAAGCAGCACCGTGGACATTATCAGCAAGGGAGCCCTAGTGAAGTACTGAATATTCAGATGGCGTTTGTTTGTATACGTATTTCTTTGAAACTGCGATAAGCGCTTTTCCGTTTTTTCACTGAATAAAATATGGCGCAGGAGGCTCGTCGTGCGACGATAAAACGTCCGCGAGGCTCTTCCCGTCACGTAGTGCGACAGTTAATTACACGGATGTAAATAAATCATCATAGACGGGTGCGGCGGAGGGCTTCGATTCCGAAAGGCAATTATCTCGCGCCTCATTGACGTCGAAAATGAGCGGAGTGAGGAGCGCGGCCCCCAACGCTCCTCAGAAATATTTGACACCGCCTAAGACGCGGTTATAAGGAAAAATCGAGTGGAGGATTTCTAGTGGCTACGTGCCCGGCTCACGGCAATTGTGATGCATGGAGGGATTTCCGCACATTCGGCCGATATTGAGCCGAAACCGCGGTCGGCCACCGCTCTGCTACACATATTGCTTATCGGAATGATATCGAATGAGGTCCGCCATTTTCGTCTTTTCTCAAAGCCCTGAAATGTCGATTACCTGGGGCGTATACCTCTCATCTATTGCATTTTCCATTTATATGCCATAATAGTGTCGTTGTCGCCCTCTTATGTGAACCTAACGTAAACATTCCGGTACAGATAGCAATCGATGGGGTGAAAAACCTTATTAGCAGCAGCTTTTTACACTGTTGCCGCTTGAAGGCGTTATTGAAATGTTAGAATCGATTAGTCCTAATTGTGAATATTTATCATTTCCAGGGTCGGTGTAACCGCGAGAAACCACCTTGCAAGTACTTCCATCCACCCCAACATCTGAAAGATCAGTTGCTAATCAACGGCAGGAATCATCTAGCACTGAAGAACGCACTAATGCAGCAGATGGGCCTGACGCCCGGCCAGGTGCTGCCTGGCCAAGTCCCCGCTGTGGTGAGTCACCCAAGCTACGCTCCCTCCTACTACTACCGAAGCTTCGAGCGATCGGACCTCCACACTAATGTAGGTATTCTATGCACGCAACACGCAGCTTTCGGTGTTATCCGCTATTCTGTATATTATAAGCGTTCTTACTATTCAAACACGTAGACTTAATCAAGTATCGTGTTTAAGTTGTGCCTCGTTCATGTTACACGTAACTAGTTAGATACATATCAAATACTAAGTTACACATAGATTCTGCGCATTGAAAATATTTCCATCTGTAAGTGAATTAACTCGATTCCGTCGTAAAGTTTTCTCACAAAACTTAATCATGTGCACGTTGAAAGTTAATGGTAATTTACTTTCTTCGAGGCGGCACAGCCGCTGCTGCAACTAGTTCCGTGCTTTAATTTAAAGTTTCGCTTCGAGTGCGTGAACCTGCTAAACAAAGTCAGTAGTAATCTGTGTATTTATTTAAGAATATAGATAGCTACCTAGTCAACTAATTTGCGGGCACAACTTAAACTTTGCCGCCCGAGGCCGATCGCTCCCCACTGCTTGAGCATGTTTGTACGAATCGTTCCTTAAACGGCATGACTATTCTCCAAACTTACTCACATGTGTATGATCTGGGTATAAGCGGTAATGCAGATTTAATCACCGGACATCGTCCTCCTCACTATTCACTCTGTCGCTAACTACGCGGCCCGACACACTCCTCGACCTTCCTCTTCGCACTGCCTGCCGCCGCGCGCCGTGCGCTTACCGCATCCGTAGTTTTCGTTGGTATCTCTCGCATCTCGCAGTAGGAGATTGTGTCTCGTGGTGTTAGGGATCAGCCGACGGTCGGTGCGAAGAGTGAGGTGGAGGCGATGTGCAGTCCTGGCCCCGCACGATGAGTAGCGTGTTTGTGTGGTTGTTTGAGGTGGGCGGCGTGGGCGGCGCGGGCGCGGCTGCCAGCCACCTCGCCGCGCTGGACCCGATCAGTCTGGCGCTGCTCGCCCCGCAGGTAATGCCGCCGCCGCCAAGCGTCACGCACTACCGCCGGCCGCCTCGCCTCCAGCGCCTCTTTTCCTTTCACACGTGATAGAATACACCCACAGCACCATAATGCACTGTTAACCTAGGGTTTTGTACCTTCTTGCATCCTTTCCTGGTTTTACCCCTCCTTTTGTCTTCTCCTGGTGGCCGGTGGGTAGCTAGACTGGATAAACCGTATGCTTCTTTAATATTTCTATTTGTTTCTTTAAGATTGCATGTGATGGCTTGTTTGGCTAACAGATTTCTGGTTTAATAAATTTTCTATTTGTTTTCGATGTTTGTAGGTTATAGCAGCTTTTGTAAATGTCGTATTCGATGCAAGCAAACATTGGGCTTCCTCTATGACCCAATTGGGTGAAATATAAGATGTGAACACGGTGTAGTGTCGCGTTCGCAAATGTACAAGTATACTGAGTGTTAGTGTTGGTGTGGTGTGCAGGCAACGTCACCGTACCTGTCGGGTGTGCCGGGCGTGGGCTCGACGTACGCGCAGTACTACGCGCCGCAGCTAGTGCCGGCGGTGCTGGGCCACGACCCCGCCGCCGCCGCCGCCTCGCCGCTCGGCGTCATGCAGCAACCCGTGCTGCAGCAGAAGCTGCCGCGCACCGACCGCTTAGAGGTAAGCATACCTTGCAATATCACCTTCCTCACCGTCAACACTCTAGTAGTGCTTCCCCATGTTGCCACATATGCCGGGGACCGACCGATATTTTTCTTATACTGTGAAATTACTCATTGATGTGTTTCCCAAATAAATGTAACTGTGTGTTTCGTTAGGTAAAATTTAATGAATGTCGGTCCCCGTAGCAAATCTGGGCTGATATTGCCGTTTGCCCGTCCCCGTGTGTCTGTGGCGCGCGGGCGCACTGCCTCGGTGCGCCTGCGTCTGCTTCGCGAGCAGCACTCGCTTACTCCCTCTGGTGAAGGACCTACACTGTTGGCACAAACTCGGCCTGTGTTGCGCACGCTCATATCTTTATATAGGTGTGTAGTCGAGCCATTGTTTCGCACCAAATAAAAATGTGTCGATTTGAGCTTACAGTGTAGTCGTGCCGAACGCTTCACTTTCGTAATTGAACTAATAGGAACAGTAGGCAAAAGATTTAGGGATTTAGAACAAAATTATCTCTCTCGACCAAAACTAATTTGAAGATGCGACGGATGCGTAAATCGTTAGATTGGTAGATTCGAAAGGGAATAACCGATTCGATGAAATCTAGAAAAAACATGAATCAGAAAGCGGCGTCCGGTCGAGGTCATTGATACAAGTAAATTGTATGATGTGACTGTTAAGATGGCATTGCCACATATAAGTCTAGTACACGCGTTACCTATAATATCAGGGTCGCGGTCGCGTCTCAGTAAAGTATTCGCAAGACACGTGAGGCATTGCTAAGAAGTGGTGTCGCAGACGTGAGTGTAGGCAGAGGGTAGATGAGCGCGGGGCGCGAGCGGCGGACATGGCTGGTGTGTGGTGGTGCAGGTGTGCCGGGAGTTCCAGCGCGGCGCGTGCAAGCGCGCCGAGACCGAGTGTCGCTTCGCGCACCCGGCGCCGCCCGTGGCCGCGCACGACGACGGCTGTGTCACGGTGTGCATGGACGCCGTCAAGGGCCGCTGCGTCCGCGACCCCTGCCGCTATTTCCACCCTCCCCTGCACCTGCAGGCGCACCTTAAGGCGCAGGCGCGCGGCGCGGTACGCCACCAGGCTGCACGCTCGCGCTCGCTTCTGTTCTTCCGCTTGGTCTCGCTCGCCGCGACGCCGCTTACGTTCGCAGAGCTTTGTTCTGTTCAGTTCGCGCCGGCTCGCGCCACGCTTCCGTCGCACTCACGCTTCACTTTTATTTTATTTTTATCTATCGCATAATATCACCTTACGCCGAGCTTTAGGTGTATTCTGTGCATCTACTACATCGTTATTGTTTCTGTCCCGTCCTGCGACGCTTCGCTTCACGTAGACGGCCGCCGCAGCCCAGCAGCCGACAGCGAGCGCGACTTCGGAGCCGGGCAAGAAGCGGCCGGCGCCCACCGAGCTCGAGCCGCCACCGGTACAACGCCAGCTTTGCACGCTTCTCCTCCGCTCCCAGTCCCGCCCGCACGATCCCTCCGCGCGCCTCTCCCTCCCGCAGCGGGTAGGCGGCGGCGCGGCGCGACGGACCACCCCCGCCCCTCGCGCCCCGCCGCCCTCCGCCTGCACCGAGCCCTCCGTCCGGAGCCCTCCGTTCAACCGTCTGTTTCTCGTTTCAGATGGACATGAAAAGCGTCGGATCCTTCTACTACGATAACTTCGTAAGTATTAGATGATGGTGACTTTTTATTTATTCGACGAGCAATTGTTGCACGTTTCTTACATCACACTTTACTTTTCTCAGGCCTTTCCCGGCGTGGTGCCGTACAAGCGACCCGCCGCAGACAAAGCGGGCGTACCCGTTTACCAGCCGGCGACGACCTATCAGCAGCTGATGCAGCTTCAGCAGCCGTTCGTGCCCGTATCATGTGAGTACCCCGCACCCGCCACGTCCGCCCCGCCGACCGCGAGCGTCCCGTCCAGCGCCGCGCCGCCGCCGTCCGCGGCCGCACCCGCGCCTACGGCCGCAGCGCCCACTCCGCAACCGGCCGCGCCGGCACCGCCGGCTCCTTCGCCGCCCGCCGACCCAGGCACGCCAGACCCCGCCGCTATGGCTAAAGAGGTGGCACAGAAGAACTACGTAGCCGCGCTGGCATTCGCGGCGCAGCACTCTGCTATGGCTCAGGCGGCGGCAGCGTACACGCAACAGGCGCTGAAGGCGCAGGCGCGCGCCGGCATGCAGCACGCGGGGCTAGTGCGTGCGCCGCACATGATGGTCCGGCCGGGCTGGGCGCCGCCCATGCCGGTGCCGTACTACCAGCAGCCCTTCATGTACGCCGTGCCGCCGCCCGCCCCGCCCAGCGCGGCGGCGGCGGCGGCTGCGGCGGCGGCGGCCGTCAACCCCTACAAAAAGATGAAGACCACATAGAGATCGCGCGGTCGGCGGGGCGCGGGGCGCGGGGTCTCCGCGTAGAGACTCGTACTGTGCGGCCGAGTGTCGCCCCGGCCTGTCGGGGCAGTTAGCGCTAGGCGTGTTGTCACATTTGTATTGTATTATTGTAAGGACGAAGCGAGCGGCGACGCCCTCGCGGATGTCTCGGTAGTTTTACGCTATATATATATATACTACTGTATCTCTACTCACTTACCGTTATTACCCTATGCGTGTATATTTCTCGTATCTACGATCCCGGTAATAATAACGCTTGAGATGCATGACTGTACGTTTTTTTATTACCTCTTGTCGATCGTCGTTATCGTGAATACCTATCGTCGTACTGAGAGTTGAGCGCTTGGTCCGTCGATCCCGCTACGTACACGCTTGTTCTCGAAGGAGCTCCGCACGGGTGCGCTTTGGCCGATGTGTCGCTCCCGTACCTCCTAGTGGTGGCTTGCAGCCGCAGGCCCGCACCTAACACAGCCGCCTTCTAATTTTCGCATGGAATAGAATCCACCACCCTATACGTTTGGCTCATCAGGTATTATTCTCATTATTCTAGTGGCTCCCGTGTGCGCTAAGTGTGGCGAGTTCATCAGTAGTGGCGTGCTGCAATTTTGTTTCGATCGCACCTCCTTCTATTTATTTTAAACGCTTTCTGTTACATGCCTTCCGAATGACGCTTCGGCTGTCGTCCGCATTGCAATCTTTTGTCGCTTTTTGTGTCGGGCGTCAGGCTGTGCGCCCCCGAACGCGCCCTACGTGGTGTACACCGACGAGCGCGGACAGGTAACGAGTGCCGCACCGCTGCGCACTCCCGCGCACTCCCGCGCACTCCCGCGCACTCCCCGCGCATTCCTCGCTCGCTCCGTCGCACTGCTGCTTTGTTATACTACTGCGCGTCATTACACCACACTCTAGCAAAACAACGTTTATTGATGTTATCACTCACATAAAACTGGATTCAATGGACCACCAGCAGATATGAGACTGTTTAATTAACAGGTGCAACACCCTGCTGTCCATGACATTTTATTTTCTTCTTCTTCTTCTCTGATATGACCAGTGAGCGTCCACTAATGTTGTTTTTGCAATTCTGTGGTGTTTTAACGTTCTGTATTCAGCAAAGTAGGTGTTATGTGAGCTGAGCTAACTGCTTACACATTAATAGATTAGACGCAAGCCCTACCATTCCACGGCACAAAACCTGCGCTGTCCCGCGCTGTCCCACGCTGTCTTGTGCTATCCCTCGCAGTTCCTCGCACTCCCGGCTCACGACCAACATGCCTCGCTCTAACCAGTACGCTACCGAACGCATATCACCTCCTACACCTCTGCGATTACCGCTTATTATGTTTTGTTCAGAAGCTCGAAGTAAATTTGTTAATTACTTAAAGTAAATCCTGCTAACTAATTGGTTTTTGTAATTGTGTGTTATCGTGAAATGTTATTGGCCTAACATTAATTAGTACAGAATAAATGACAATATACATTTTTCACACAAATAATCTAAATTTTTGATATCCTTGTTACACCAGCCTATGAGAACGATATAATCTAACAAATGAAAGAAGTAAATCAAGCAACTTTGAGTCCGCATAGATGTTCAGAGCTTGCTTCTTCACTCGGCTTCTGTAGAAGTACTTTTTTAGTTTTAGTTTGTGGCGCTTCACGCGGGCTTAGTAGGCTAAACACTCGCTTGTTAACGAACCACGAACGTCACACGATCACTACACTACAGCGGGATAAGGTGCGCTTGGTGAGCTTGTTCTATTAAACCCGACGACCCGCATCGAAGGAAGACTGGATCACGAGTTACTGCCGTCACCTTACTTAGTATCGTCTGCTGTGACGGTCTCTAGCCCTCCTGCCGACACCGGTGGCAGGCGGGACGCGTGTCTATTCGATGACCTCTTAATATATCCTACAGTACAGTGGAGGTACGAGGACTCGACCGACGCCGACTGGTGGCGTCGCTTGTCAACCGTCTCATGATAATATATCTTTGTCATCATCACACCATCTAGTCATTGTGCTGTAACTGTATCGATATATATATTGTAATGAACAGTTGATGCTACAACTTACTTGTTGATGATTTTTAGTTTTGTATAGTGAGACATACTTGCTTTGAAATGTGGAAGAAGTCACTCTACAGTATTGCCTTGCTTACACCCGGTAAGATACGATCAGCTTACTATAATATCCTCAGTATAAGTTATTTCCTGTTTGCCGCCTATACTGAAACACGCCGCTTGTCACTCGCATGGAGTTGCAGATGCAAATAATAACTTCGCTCTCTTTTCTTAAACATGCTTCTAAAACTAATGAACTCGGCAGTTTCAGTAAAGGTCACTTTAATTATTGAAATTTAACGAAGCCATTTTATATTCCACTAAACAGTTGGCCTTTTCAATAATGTAGGTACTCACACTTGCCTAATTTACATGTAAATAATACCTTTAATATTATTAAAATGCTTAGTCAACTGTTTAGTTCTAATTGAGTTCACCTTTTGGCCAATATCAACTATCAACTGCTAATAAGGGGGTTTTTACACTCATTTAAATGCTTTTTGTAAACAATTATTTTACGCGTAGTTGGTAGTTGAAGTGACGATGGTGAAATAAGAAAACTCGAAGTGATATTGAGACATAGTTAATAGAGTATTTATTGTAAGCGTAGGGCACAGTATTTGTGTAGACCTGTAGTAACTCATGCGTAATGTAAGTGTATGCTATCACTTCGAATTTTCTATGAAAATGCTTAAAATGCTTCGCCGTTGCGGCTTCAATTCCTCGCTTACGACTTGTTGAGGCCTCTCTGACGCTTGTTAAAGTGTTCACGTAGATGTAATAATATACTTGGTTTTCTTTTGTTTGTCGTACAGTAACCGCACTCTCTAATGGTCATTATGTTGCAGTTTGTACTACCACTAACATGTCACGTCCAGAACTGTCATGTAAGCTAAAGGTATAAATTTAATTTGTCTATTTACATTATAACCATGGCAACCTACCGATAAGCATGACGTCCTCTGTTCCTCTACTGAGAACACCGGGAGATCTAAATTCATCACAGCCGACGCAGACCTGTCCACACACAGCCTCTTTTAGCTTTATTATAGCAACAGTTGGTATTTATGGGTACACTTTGGACGCTACAAAACCTCTAGTACGCCCTCGCCCTGGTAAAAGTTGTCTAGCATCATGCTTAAGCTTTTTTGTAAAATATAGTCACGCTTAAATAAGATTGGCTGCGCAATAATGATTATACTTCAAGCGTTCTGCATGCCATTTAGATATTATATATTCATACCTATGTGCATAGTGCAGCGTACTTAACACTACTCTCTGACGGTTATGGAAGCTCGTTCACGAGAATAACTCCAGCAGTGGGCTCTAATTTACTATTCTCTTTAATGTTGCATATAATTACCCGACAGTACTACAATATAAAGGTGACACACATAATATACAGCGCGCACGTAAATAAAAGAATGCTTGGAAGATCCAATCATATTGTGCAACGAATCTTGTAAAGTTCTTGTAATATTGAAGCAGCAACAAGATTTGATTTCGAGCAACTTTCGCCTTCCGTGTGTCCCGTTTTGTGTTAATTTTATGTAGCGACTGAGAAACTACACACGCATACTTTCCTTCCATACGAATATATATTGACAACATCTGTCCCATCCGACCGACACGAGTAGGGAACCTTAATTCGATACAATGTGATAGGGGTAGTCCAACGATTATAATTATATTTGCTCTTTGATATTACAAAAACTATTTCAGCGTTATTTTTCAGACGGCTGTGCAATGAGGATAATAATCAGTGTCAGATGTATGAATGTCGAATCAGTGATGAAATAGAATTTAGTATTAACACTATTAACATACTAAGTTCATAAACCGTCGGTTCCTTGCTACCCACACTCTTACATATTGACACAAACATTTTAAAGTAGCTTGTATTTGATCTTTTATACTTATATCGACTGTTTATGAAGTAGATTATAGTTATAAGAAGCATACAGACTGCTGTTTCACAATGCAAATTTGACTCTTCTGGTGTACATGAACCCTAATTGTGGTTTTGTTAAATGGAATTCATGAGTTAATCAATGAGAAATAAGGGCTGTAAGAGTATATTTATCTGTACTGTGCAGTTTTTAAGCAAATGAAATTGCAAAAGTTTTACAACGAAGAAGTCAACGAATAATTTTATGAATAATCATGCACAATGTGCTACGAAATACTGAGCCTAAGTTACGTTAAACTAATTAGTTAATAATGTACCAAAGAGCAGAGGCAAAGCATTGTGGAAGCGTCGGGGCTGTATGAACATTGATACTGAGTAACGACAATAATACTAATGAAGGTGTTGTTATATTTGCAGTTACTGGACACCCTCCCGGTGTGCCAAGATTTTAATCGACAAGGATGTACAAGACCTACCTGCAGATTTGTTCATATTCGTGAAGGTGAGGACCAGTTTCAATTTCTTATTCACTCTCTAGTAACTCTCATTCTAGCAACAAATTCAAGTCAAAAATCATTCAAATATTTGTTAAACTTGTTGTTACTAATCAATTGACAGAAATGTGTCAAACGTTTCAGATCATCGATAGAAATGTCCCCTCTCCCTTCTCCTTGTGTATCTGCATGCTCACCACATTTTGTTTCATAAATAGCGTAGTTTTACTCTATTTGAAAGTAGAACACTATCGTAGACTGAACTACATTTAATCAATTTAGCTTAGATATTTGTCGTTGGGTACATTATAACTGTTACTGTATTGTACCAGATTTACAACATTAGTTCAGTTAGACTAGTTTTCAATAGTTTTAGTATCTGCTTGTCTATTCATATACTCAGTAGATTTTGTACATCAACCTATTATATGCACTAATTCTCATGTAGTATGGTTTTACTGAAACCATTTTAGTGAACTCTCAACATGGCCCATTGTTGTCCCCAATATAAGTGGGTGCATGAGTATGGTGCGCGTGTGGTGCAGTGAGCGTGGTGGTGTTGCAGGGTGCGGGCTGCAGGTGGTGGGGTGCCGCGTGGTGGTGTGCCGCGACGCGGCGGCGGGCACGTGCCGGCGCGCGGCGTGCCGCTACTACCACATCCCCGTTCAGCTGCCGCCAGCGCTGCGCCCTCCTTAACCTGCCCCGCCACCCGTCCACCGCCGCACCCTCGCCCTCATCCCTCCCCCCTCCACTTCCACCCCCACGTGATCCGACCCATCCCCGCATCGCCCGCGCCCCGCGTTATCCATATCGATCGCGCCTCTGGCACACTCGGGAAAGGCAGGTTCGGCAAGTATCCTACTGTCGCTCCCGCGGCTGAGGTGGTGATATCTTAGTGAATATCGGTTAGTGTATAGCGGCTGGGGCGGGCCGCGTGCGCAGTCGCGCCGGCGCCCCGCCCCCGTCTGGAGAGCGTTGTAGTCTTCGGGAAGAGTGTGTACATAAGTAGCGGGATATGATTCTCAGGCACGGTCATACGATTGTGATATGAATAGATTTCGAGACGCCGGAGCCGTTTGAGTAATTTTATCGAGATCGTACCGAGATCGTCGAATAGTAGTTAGTGAGGTTTCAAATGTTTTATTACTATTGTATATTATTTTTTTTAAGATACGATATGAGTTCCTGTAAAGATCAGTGCGGCCGCCTCCGGGCGCCGCATGTAAACTTTGTTGTATATAAGCAAGCGGTGTAATGTTTATGGGTGGTGCGGAGCGCACCGTCACCGCCGGCTCGGTTCACGGCCGGCGGCCGATGCCGGTGTCAAAAGTTGCATCACCCCACTCCTAACGTGAGCATTTTTGTGAGAATTATGTTACTTTTTTACGTATGTTATAAAATTATTTTTTTCTAGATGACAAGTTTTACACTAGATTAGATTAAGTGAGTCAGTAATGAAACACCAATAGAGTAGCCGCTTCTCTCCCTCGGCACTGAAACTTTTGACGCCGGAGCACAATTCGCGCGACAGGTGGCGCCCCGCGCCTCGCTCGCTGCGACTAGTCGGTACGTCGTTCTTCCCTTACGGAGCCATCCCGTTCGCACCACATCCCACGTCCCACGACGCCCGCGCGTCCCCAGTTCACTTTAGCATAGATCGCGACACTCGTAGAGTGATAGAGGACAGAAATTCATTACAATGAACGTTATCGGACAATATTAAACGAAGAAGGCATACTTCCAAGCTATTTACCTAAATTCTAGGATAGAACGTCGGCTTTTATTCCAGATAGATTTTGCTAGATAATCATTCTTTACCGGTCGATTCCCGTCTATCGATGCACAAAATATTACCGACGATCGAGTCCGATTACCTCTCGGTGATGACAGCATAAAGAAATAGCTACCTATATTGTTTTCAACACAACAGTATTAACGTTTTGATCAAATTTATCTCGTCGTATGTATGTAGAGGTGATATGCGGATAGAGAGAGAGGCGGGAGCGCGCGCCGGCAGATGGCGCCCGCGAGGCCCGCGTCGCGCAACTACCGCGCGGCCGGCGCGCGCGTCCCGAAGGCATGGAAGCCTAATGCCTAATATTATTCCTAGTCCATATCCTTTTTGTTGATCAGTCATGCGATTAATGTTAGAATAAATATTAATAATTTGATTTATTCCTCCCATTTAGTGGATATTTTGATAATGATATATTAATAATGAAATATTTAAGATACATAATACATATTTGATTCTAAATCCTGATAAAGTGACACTACGTTAGTAATTTAGTCGGAGGGATACTTGTGCCGTGATTATATTTTTAGGTATATATTATGAAATAATTCCTAGCGTCGGAATTAAAGAAGTGATTAATGTGTAAGCGTGTTATATTTATTGTCGTAACGTAAGTGGAATGCCATATCGATAAAAGGTGAATATCGGATGCGGAGTCAAACTCATTAGTAACTCGTTGCGTTTGTGTTTATGTTGATTGTTATAACCAGTCCCGTGCTAGTGGCTAAGGTGAACAGTTCACTTTTATCAATACGGCACTATGAGTCTTAAATATATAAGTTGTCATATTATTTTTTGTTAAAATTTATCGTTTCATGAATTATTTGTTGCCTATAATTTTTATAATCAAAATTTTATGATCTGACGCATTTATTGTAAGACAATCGATTACTTTTATAATTAATTAGTGTGATAATAATAATTATGGTATCAAATTGCCGTTATGAAATATAGAACATCGAAAGTATCCTTCCTGTTTAGAAGGGACTCTTCTGGCCCAAGGTTTCTAGTGGATTTTATATTTTTCTTTTGTTGTATTTTTAATGTTGCGTGTGTCTTACACATAATATATTTCATTTTTGTGATATTTTTAACTATAAAGTACTGTTATTATAAATCCAAATGGAATAATGATGACCTAATTAATATTCAAGAATTTATTTGTAAATCACAAAAAAAAATGTAAAACTGTAAATATATTGACAAAAAAATGAACTGCAACACAATAATTGATTATTATATCTCTCATCAAATACACTGTAAGTTGTTTGAGTACCTAAGTAACGGTATCTTATTATGTAGTATGTACCTACAGTCTACTTATTGTAAACCGGTCCAGTGAACAAAGTATTGATAATATTGTGAACATTTTTTTATTCACGAACAATCACAGAAAGTACATGACATTGTAATATTATTTATGAAATTACTATGTGATGTGATCTTCGGATCAATTTTGAGTACAGTATAGATAATAAACAACTGAATATGTGATTTATGTCTTTTATTCACTCAACATTATATTACCTACCTATCCCCTACACATATAAGCTGCCTAGAAATATTTGATGTAATAAGAACTGTATGATGTGGAAATGAAAGTTAGGTGATAGGTGTCTTGCAAGACAAACAGGCATTAAACCTCTTTATTACTTTTCCACCACAAATTATTAATAATGTAGATATAGATTCTTCTTCTACTTTATAAATGTATCTGGTGCTTAGACAACTAGATTTGAAACGCACATAATTATCAAACAAGTACCTAACTTACTAGAAAGTCAGAAAATATATGTCGAACAAAATAAACAATAACAACAACCACTTATCATTGCTTCCTATGTCTGAAGGGGTTGGTTAACTTGGGCTTTCACATGTAATGAACGTTCTTGCGAATGTTACATTACAGAAAAATAACGAAAGCGTTTTAGCAAAATTTTATCAATCCTTCGTAGTAAACGTTCTGGCGTGCATTCTAAATTATCCTTCTGGCGAGCGTTTTAGGGGACGATAGTAAAGTTCGTCAAGCCAGACATCTTGGAAAATAATGTTCATGTCAAGCACCGACTTGAGCGTTAGCAAAAGTGCTCGTGAGAAAGTTGCATTAGCATTGTTCGTCTTTATGCTTAGCTTACCTTCGATGTTCAGTTCGTCGACCGAAACCATTGCAACGGGCTACGCATCACAATATCGTCTATCTCTGTCACTAAGAATAAAATTTAAGAAAACTGAGAAAATTCAATACTCAATTCGATTGAAATGCTGTCTGTCTGAACCGAATCAATATCAATGCCCTATTGACAATTTGGCACTGACTGGAATTAACTAGGTGATAATGTTAAAATATCAACAACATCAGAAAACCACCACAGTAACTTCCCCATTTTAGTATCATCTACTGCAGTTGCAAGACAGCTCAGTGCTGGCTGGCCTGTGCCTGCTCTAAATAAAAGGGTTTGCTATAATCTTCACACAAGGTTCAGCAGGTTTATCAAATAGCTCTGTTTTTATGGAATATAAGACACCCTTATACGATGTGAGGTAGCCGGCAAACGTGCCGCCGGATCATCTGATGGTAGGTAAGCAATCGTCTCCGGCCATCGTCATACGCAACAGCATAGGAGTTACAAGTCGATTGCCAACCTTTGTGCATTTTTAGGGATTTGATTGGAGATGGGGGGAGGATTGGGCCCTCGGTATTCTATGACACGCCGTGGTTATCAATCCGGTCGAACCAATTTAATAATACTCAAGCATATCACACATTGTCCAACACTAAATGTGTTGGGAATCGCTAGAATAGAGACTAGAGAAGGGACAAATGTCAAAACTTGAGTAGAATACCTACACGGTTATTTTCCACTGTACCTAGGTACTTACTTATTTCTTTTACCTGGAATTGGAACGAACAATCTAATAAAATCTGTTTTGGAGCGGAAGGGATCCTCCAAAGCGGCCGTGACCCTCATACGCGTTTCATTACTGCGACCTAAAAAGATTTTGAGGTCGCGCCACTTGTAGGTACTTAGTAAAGAGACACGTGGCGACAGACGATGACGACATTATTGACGAACCGTGCATTTTATCTGCGCTGTTTTCCATCTACGTTCTAATTTTATACAAACCTGCTGTATTTTTTTGTTTACAACATTTTTATGTAGGTGTTCATTCTTGAAATGCATTGTTTAATTTGGTACCAACTAAGTATGCACTAGGTGCTAGAATATGCAGTTTTCACGTACCTAAACTAATTCGCATTATCAATTAATACGAAAACAGTAGGTTTTTTTATGTAATAGATCGGCAAAATAGCAAACGGATCACCTGATGGTAAGCAATCAGCGCCGCCCATGGACACCTGCAACAGAGGAGTAACGAGTGCTTTGCGCATCTTTTGGGGATTAGGGATTTGGAGATTAAGGGATTTGGGGGAGGGGAATGATTACGCACCCCCCCCCCCCCCCCCCCCCCCCCGCCTACCCCGGTAACCTCACCCACACGGCGAAACACAACGGTTTTCTGTGAGGCCTTGGTATCACTCTGCTTGAGCCGACGCATTCCATGGCTCTCCCACACTTATTAAAATATTGAAACAATTTCGATATCAGTAATTAGTTATGATAAGAGTGTCATGAAAAAACGACATACAATTTTTCTTAAACTGCAGCATCCATAATAGTACCTAAGTATTTTACCCAGCCCGGAAATCGATCCTGAAATTCCTTGCGTTGCAGTCGATTTGCGATCACTACCTAACTCTTTAGACAGCAGAAGAAGTGATAAATTATCTTTTAATCGTAAAAAACTGTATTCATGATAGTAGGTATCAATGCTGCGCCATCTGATACCTACTGAGGCCCGACCTGGAACAGGAGTAACATGAAGGAAATAACCCGTGTTTTGCTTCGTGAGGAGTAGGTAGGGTGCGCTTTTTTGTCAGTAGGTATGATACTCCTCGCCCGACACAGAGCCAGAGAAGTGTGAAGATGACGTGATGATTATCCCTCCTCAAAAAAGCGTGTCATCTTTCCACTGAGTCAAACTAATCGAAGTGAATATTTGAAAATTTTGTTTCAAAATCAAACTGAAAATAAAATAGTCTTGAATAAGTATAAGTATGAATGTTCCTTTGGCGTATCACATCATCATCAGCCTATAAGTGCCCACTGCTGAGCAAAGCTTCTACTCACGCGGAGAAAGTTTAAGCATTATTCACCACGCTTGCTCAGGACGGATTGGCGATTTCAAACTTATAATTAGAAATAATAAGTCCGAATTTCCTCACGATGTTTTCCTTCACCGTAGGTATGCTATTGGATTTCAAACAATCATAGAGAGGAATGAGTATATAAACACTTAAGTTCTATTATAATATAAACTACATAAACCTCGGAAAATGACACATTGGTGTACCTTCAAAGAAAAATATATGAACTTTGATATGGCGAAAAAAAAAATTAAATTACCCACGAAACTCCTGAAAAATAGTATCTTAGATGATTATGCTGCTGTTACGATTGTAGATAATGCTGAACTCACAATGCTTCTGTAAATACATTCAAGTCAAATCTGCATGAAAGGATTTAGGATTGGCATTTTCTCCTGTGTCGTGGTTGGATGGTTTAGTAAGTAAAGGTGAAATAGTCGATTATTAACACAAGTTTAGTATTCTACTACCACACTAGCGTCTTGCACTGCCCTATTCTGTTGTCAAACAACTGTCACTGGCAATGTCAACTTGTCATCGCCTTTTCTATCTTCAGTCCCTGACAGTAATTTTTTGTGCGAATTATTTCATACCTACCTTACAGTATTTCTTTTTCTGATATTCAGTGTTGCGAAGCAAATATGTTTTTTTCAAACCTAATACGTTTAAGCGCTTTAAATGCTATATTGTGACTACGTAAATTAAACTTTTACTCGACGTAAATTAGTGTTGTATTAATTTGAACTCGAAACTGGTAAGTTATCGAACGATATCATGGTCATTTACATTGGAAAACGAGTTGTAATTCTTGTTTTGTTGCTTTTAGTAGCTTAGGTTACAAGTAAAGATGTTTGCGAGTTTAAAAAGTAAGATAAAGGAAGAAACTGGTAGCGACATTAGTAAAATAACTAGTAGTTGGCGGAGCGGCGCTTTCTTGGGACGAATAACGCTTAGAGATGATTCCGTAAGTATCACTTCATTGTTATGTTATAAAAATAAAGCTATTATGAGTATGCAACAATACCGCTTTGGTTTCTTATCAACTCAAGGGCAATTGTCTTAAATTAATGAATGAATGTGTAAAGAAATTATTGATTATATTTTCACCATAAATTTTTTGTTTACAAACTATGTGATACCAAATCATTGACAAAAGACCCTTCTAAAATAATATTTTTGAACTTTTTTTCATGCAGTCAACAGCCAGCCCTTCTAGTTCTGCTGGACATGGGGATTCTACATCAGATGTAAGTAAATCAAAATTTTGATTAGTAATTCAATACCATGAAGAAACTGTAATTCAATGAATCAAATAAAAGTAAAGTAAGTGTAATAAATGTAATTGAAACTGTATGTGTCAGTGCGTATCCTTAAATGCAGAGTTTGTTACATAAATAGTCAAGTAATAATTATTTATTAATTCATCTAACCCCAAAGGAATGTCCATGGTCTCAGACCTATTGTCTTACTATTGTCATATTGTGTCATACTATGACGATTCAAAGGTTAATAGACACATTCCTGCTATTATTGAAAGTAGAAGATCATTCCTACTTATTGCCCACTAAAACTTCTCAATAACTACATAACATGTTTGTTAAAAGATAGTCTTGAAGTTGTTGTTTTTTAATTTCTACTATTTTTTTTACAGTCAATATCTCCCCAAATGGAATCATACTTATCAGAGAGGACTGGTGGACGTATAGACCAGGCGGTGTTACAACAACAGTACTCAACACAATTGGAGGCTAAACTACGAGAGAGAGACACTTACTGGGAACAAAAGATTGAAGAACTGAAGCTTTCACTTGCATCCGTTCAAGGTCAGACATTGACTAATAGTTATTTGGATAATGTAGTAGTGGCAAATGACTAATAGTTTTGACTGCAATGTTGGCGCGGTGGCTGGGCAACTGGCTGCCTTGCGACGTGTTGCGGGTTCGATTCCCGCAAGGAACAACACTTTGTGTGATCCACAAATTGTTGTTTCGGGTCTGGGCGTCATGTGTATGTGAAATTGTGTGTTTGTAAATGCACCCACGACACAGGAGAAAATCCTAGTGTATGGCAACATCTACAAAAAAAAATTAATAATTTAGTAGTGGCAATCTAAACACAGTTCTACTTGCCAATCATTTGCTTAAACTTTACTTGACATAGTTTACTTAGCATGCAAGTGCGTGGATTGAATCATTGAACTATGGCAAGATTTCATATATTTCTTATATACTTGTGTTTATTGCCATCATTCAGTAATCATGTGTATTTGGAAGAAAGTTCATGTGAGAATAAGGAAAACAATTTGTGTTGATAGTTACATCAGACATAATGCTCTACTTATATCCAATTTCTTCATTTATTACCCAAAGGGTTTTTTAAAACTTTTCACTAATATATAATACAACATAAACAAACAATCTTTATCTATATATATAAAAATTAATGCCACTTTTCATTGTAATGTTATAAGACAAAAACACCTTTTCCAATTTGGCTAATTTTGGTCTTGAATTATTTGTGGAAGTCCAGAGAAGGTAGGAAGTAAAAACAAAACTTAGATAAAATATAAACAAGAACTTTGAAAAAGCGTAAAATCGACATCCACGTGCGGAGCTGCGGCCGACTGCTAGTTAATAATATATATGTATAAATGAATTGCAAAATGTGTTGGTTATATATTATGAGAATATAATAACTAAACAACGCCTGGACAAAATTTGCCAATTTTTTTGTTGGGTTTGTTATTGTCAGGAAATGGTCTAATGAATGGAAATTTTAGAAAAGTAGAGGGGAGATCTGGGAAATATGGACTCTTTCGTCATTAGCGAGGGAATATTTTAGGCGGGCTACTTGTAATTTTATAAAGAAAACAAATGTATCATTGCAATCACACTGTTGTGATGTATTTTTGTAAACCAGTAATAGCAGTTGAATGTATTACAATCAGTACACAGGTAATATTTATAATAAATTATAATTACTTTTCCTTCCTTCAGTTAATTTTATTTGGTAGAGGTGGCAGCAATTTTAGTTACCTAATTTTGTTGTTTTTGTTTTTGTGGTTTCACTTACTACTTGACTTTTATAGGTAGTAGCATGAAGTTTTATGACCTTTTTCAACTAAAGAACACAATAACATGTGTTGTGTGTGTTGCATAACACAATAACATCCATACTTATATTATAAAGAGGTAAAATTTGTAAGTTTGTATGTAGAGGTAATCTTTGGAACCGCTGATCAGATTGCCAAAATTCTTTCTCTGATAGGTAGCTACAATGTTGCTTAGTGCTATAGTCTATAAAACATCATGCTACAATCAAAGCAGTGGGTTTCCAATAAGACAGCAGTTCCAGAGATAATAGTGTTAAATCTACCAAACAAAATGTTGAGCTTTATAATATTTGTGTAGATTTAAGAATGGAAGTGTTGATTTTGTTGCCATATAAACCATTACTGCTACAAGCTTACTCCTAGACCAATTTTAATGTATAATACTAGACAAGCTGGCAGGTTTTGTCTTGTCTTTGCCATCATCATCATCATCATCATTTTTCAAGGAATTACGTCTGCGGTTTTACGATTTGGTTTAAGTACCTACACTATTAAGTCCAGTGGCTAGCTAGGCGATCATTTTACTCGCAACTTGTCACGGATTTAATTCATGCCTATCCTCAGGTATTCTTGCTAGCCAATATTTAGGTGATGCATACAATTCTTTGTGTGATCCACAAATTATTAGCCAGGGTATGATGCGTATGTATATATACTTGTAAACGACACAAAAATGTAGTTGCAAAGTTTAAAAAAAACTTGAAGGATAATGCCAATCCCACAACGGCTGGTAATTTTAATATGAATTTAATTTGCAGGTGAAGAAGCAGCGGCGGCGCAGGCAGTGGCTCGCACGGCACAGGCTGAGGCCGCCAAGGCCGTGCTCGAGAGAGATGCTGCTAAGAGACTCGTCACCGAGCTGAAGACTCAGCTGGCAGCTGCTGAAAGGGCTCAGGATAGACTTGATGCGCTAAATGTGAGTCTTGTATTTTTGGTGTTGCTGAGTGATTGTTAGTCGATTACATATTGTTAGTTGACAACCGAAAATGAAATCTGATAGTTAACCTAATATTAATACATATTTGGTCAAAAGAATGATGTAAAGATCATTTAATAAACAAGAGATGCAAATCCCTATCCTGACCTTACTAATAAGCAATAATGTTGTTATAGGATTTTCTTCGCTTCTGTTTAATTTTATATAAGGTCGAGCTATTAATTTGACCCATTATTTCCTATCTCAAGAAAATTAATTAAAAAACAACACCGATATATTTAAACCTGCTTAGTTTAAAGTAAGTAGCAGTATTAAACTGTAAGCAATGTCAAAGAATTAGTTAAACAAGTGCCACTAGATGTGGTAGATAAGGCACATCCTGCGTTGTTACCCGTGGCCTGCTTCGTGCGCCTCGTAAAGGTTTATCTGGTGCCATTTCCTGTATTATGTAGTCACACGAAAACATCTACCTACATATTTCAATATGGTGGTGTTTGAAAATATGTGTAAGGAAATTTTGCGTATTTTTTTATTTATAAGCATTGGGTTTATGCGGGTAATGTGCCGGCTATTAAACAAATTACAAAACCAAAACCATTATACTTCCAGGGATACCCTGTATCTATAGTCGATATGGTCCTTCAATAGATTTAACTACGGGTCCCAAGTTTGATTAATCTGTTACGGGCTTTTTTCATGGTATTGGTCGGTAGGTAAACGGGTGGTTAGCAATCAGCGCCGTTTATTAATTCCATTAGGGATTTGAGGATTGGGGATTAAGCCTCCGGTAACCTCACTCACATAGCGAAACACGACGCAAGTGTTGATTTACGCCAGATTTATTATTTTTATTTATATGGTATACAGTGGGTAAAGCGATTTAGCAAGACTACGATGAAGTTAGTTGCTCGTTCAATAACCTGAAATAAAATGTGTAAACATAACATATTACCTACTAGATACGTACTTCGTTTCTCATCCTACACTGGAAAAATAGATTATCATCCTACTAGTATTATAACCTGCAAAAGTTTGTAAGTATGAGTATACGAGTATGTATGGTCTTCTTTTGCGTAAAAACTACCGAGGGCCTACTATGACGTGTTAAAACGCGGAGGGATGGAGCTATTAAAGGTGTATAGCTCTATCCCTCTCTTGCCCGACAGATATACGCGTTAACACTTCATGGTTAGTCTACTGAACGGATCAGAATGAAATTTTGCACTGGTCTGGAATAAAATATAGGCTACAATATAATACCTTGGTACCCACTTCATGCAAAGCCGCTGATACAATGAACCAATACTTTATACAAACCTATTTTCATTATTTAGGAGGAGTTAGAACAAAGTCGCCGTGAGTGGGCTCGCGAGCGCGCGGAGCTAAGCGGAGCCCTGTCACAGGCGGAGGCGCGCGCCGCCGACTTAGCAGACAACCTCGCACTGCTTAGCGCAGCCCTGCCGCCTGAAAATCCACACCATCATATGGAGGACGATGGTATGTTTTTATTAATCATCATCGTCACTGGTCAGAATATATCCTGATCAACTGATAAAAACTGTGTTTTTGGAGTGGATTAAAGACATTATTGTTAGGTTTGTTTGATCACTGGGTACAGCATTCGATGGTTGTGACGATAAAGAAGATTTCTCATAAAGAGATTATATCCTACAAAGTTGCGATCTGCTGTCAGTCCTTAAGTACGCTTAGATTTTTTAATCATATGAGTCAGTTTTGTTGTAATTATATTAATAGATAGAAATATTCAAGTTTAAGCTAGTTACTCGATAAAATTCTACATTTAAGTATTTCGCAAAGCGTTGTTCACTAAGAAAACAAATTTTATCCCATAGATAAACGCGAAGTAACTCCAACTGGGTGCGCGGACTATGACCGCGTGTGTCGGGAGCGTGCAGTACTGACGCGGCAACTGCAAGAGGCCAAGATGGCGCTCGCTGACGTCAAAACCTCTTGGAGCGGTCAGATAGCGTCATTGGAGACACAGGTATGCTTTGGACAAAGTAAACAGCATTAAAACAAAATTACCAAGGTCAAAGAAACTGCTGGTTCCTTAATCGTCCAATGTAAATCAGTTATTTCTAGTAAATATTGCTAAATTGCTCACAAGACAGGGTTTTCTAAATCAGAATATAAACTCAATGTTATTTAAACAAAATGGTTACATTTATGTATTATATTTATACCCACATTAGCTTTCGGTTTCCTGCTTCAGGGCTCCTTTTTGTCGTAGCGTGATGTTATTTAGCTTACCTCAATAAATGGACAATCCAACAGAAAAAATAACATTTCTTTCGAGCCAGTAGTAGCAGATACCGCGTTCGAACACTCTTCACCTTTATGATTTAATAGTCCTGGAGACAAATGTAAACAGGTTATATTTTTTACTTTATAGACGATTATTATAACTAAAACTCAAGTTGAAGGACAATTGAATTTTTATGTTCTATTACCAAAACAAAACGCTATTTAGATAGAAATAAAAAAATAACCTCAAAACAATTTCGTAATAAAGTTTAATTTCGTATGTTGAGTTCGTACGAAATTAAACTTTATGCTATAGGTAACTATAATATACATCTGTATTCTGTGTTATATATAGCATATTAAAGTTACGTCTTACGAGTTTTCGACACAGCAAATATTTTCGTATATATATATTTGGCCAGATCTTTATACGAACAGGTGTTTATAATTAACAACATTGAGTTAAGAACGAAATTACTTCCAAATAAATTTCAAGCCTATAGTCATGGAACTACTAGATCGATTATAATAAAACTTGGTATTATACGCAAAATATCAAGGTCTAAAAACTTAATTTCGTTTTCAAATGAAGGGAGAGAAAGGACTAGGAGAAGCAATTTTAGAATTGCGTTGCATAACTTGTTTGACTGCACGGTTGGTGCGGTGGCTGGGCAACTGGCTGCCGTGCAACGTGTCGCGGGTTCGATTCCCGCACGGAATAACTCTTTGTGTGATCCACAAATTGTTGTTCTGGGTCTGGGTGTCATACGTATGTGAAATTTTATGTTTGTAACGCACCCACAGTTTAGCAACGTTTTTATAAAAAATGAAAAAAGAAAGAAAAAATAACTGCTTAATTAAAGAATATTTCGAAAACGTCTCAATTAAATGTAATAATTAGCTTTCAGACCATAAGTGACCAAACTTTTTTGATTGAACTTAAAATAAAATTATACATGATTCTGCCCGTCAATATACATTAATGCTCATTGTGTAATAGATTCCTATAGAGTCAAAAAAAGTATAGAAACACCACTAAAACATTGTAATGTATAAAATATAAGACGATACGGTATATAAATACCGATATACAAGAGCTCATGGTATTATCCTTACCTTACCTTGGTTTGTACATAGAAATGTTTACTTATATATTTAAGTGCATGTATTGCGAAAGGCGTGTGCATGAAGCATGGTACATAAATGAACACCACTTGAACACATCACAATAATATTTAATTGCATCTAACCGTACCTTCAATTTGATTTTTTTCCTGTACATAATAATAATAAAATAATTACCTACATTGTAAATATAACTTCATCTTAATTAGTTAATTTTGCTGAATGTTGTATGTACAATATCGGTTTCGTGGTTCCGCGATTGTTTTCGAGCTCAAACCGGGTCCCGTGTGTTTATTTAATTTATTTGATTTATATGTAAGGTTTAACATAAACATGTTGAACTATTTGCACGATGGTTCATTTGTTAAAATCGTTGGTAAAATGTAGAATTATTAGAAAAATTACAAATCGTTGCATTAGTCGTAAGTAAAAATGTGTAATAGATATTCGTGTATTTATTTGTAAAATAATATATTTATATTATGTCTATGTATATAATTATTCCGTACTCGTGTATATATTCGTCGTCTATTTAAGTATGCTAAGATCGTTTTTCCAGTTTATTTATTTATTTTTTGCAAAACATTATAAACGGTATTACATCACTCGACAGTAGAAACTCCATTATCAGGTAGGTACACATTGCCACTGTATAGTATCAAAAATCAATACTTTAATTAAACAATACCCAGGTTGTTATAAAACATTACATAATGTTATCTTCTGCGGTAATTATCACACGAAGTTGTAAACATAGGTGGCGCGACTATCGCGGCAGGCAGGAGAAGAAGGCTCTGAGAGAAGACGAGTGGAGATTGAGAAGAAAGAGTTGCAAGAGAAGTTACAGAGCGCAGCCGCAGAGTTGGAGAAAACTAAGCAGAACCTTGCCAACAGTGAAGCTAAGGTAATAATTGCTCTTTATTATTGTTTTCTGTATGTTAATTAATAATATTTTTTATCTTTGCTCACCTCTTATACAGTGCAGTTTAGAGCTATCGCCATTTAGAAAAAATATCTGTGTTAATGTTGCCATCATCATATAAATTTTCTTTTTAACATTTCTGCTCCTACATGTCAAACTGAGTGACGTTTGTTGATATATTAAAATTATAAATTACGATGTACATATCTTTAGTAATTTACATTACACGGCTCTTCCGATACGATGCACACTAAAATGGAGATATTAATATATATGTACTTATAATATTTGTTGTAGAAATTGTCACTTAGAATTAGAAATTCTGTACTTGTATATAATGCATGCTAGTTAAAATTACACTAAAAACTACTAACAATTATTATTAAGCCATCTCTACCCTCAACATTAATTGCTTCCGATTCTTTAGCAATTTAAATTTAGTCATGTTCATATTTCTTTTTAGCTGTCGTTTTACTGTCCAATCTTTAGCACTAGGCTCGGCTTAATTCATACTTGCCAAGTGTTAAAAGTTGAGTTATAAGTTCTTGGTTGTAACCCTATTGAATTCTCCTGCCTTCAAAGAAGCTATTAACTTCAAGTTTGAGCTACAACTTTTTGTAATAACAATCTTAAATACATATTGGAAAGGTATAAATTTGCCTGAACCCAAGTCTCCTTATATAATATTTGGTTATATGTCAGTTTAGCACGTATTCCTAGGTATATTTAAGGTCCAAGTTAGCAAGGTTAGTACTATATCTGTCGGGCAGGTGGTGCGGCTGAACGGGGAGGTGCATTCGTTGGCTCTGGAAGTGAAGTCCCTCCGCAGCGCCGCCGACCACGCGGCCGTGAGTCCCAGCCTCTACACGATATAAACACTCTAGTCTTGCATATGCCTAAAGTAACTAACGAGCTGAGATAGCTTTGCAACTTTGAATCTTACGTCCAAAGGCATAATGTTCGCTTTTCTTTACATTACAATTTTATTTGTAGGTATACTTTTATAATGTTTGTGCTAATATTAATTTAAGCTATGTCTTAACTTACAACTTTCTTCTAGGAAATCTGATTTTGAAATGAAGAAATTCAGCTTTTTTGGCAGCTGTTTCAAAGTTTTTTTTGTCTCGTCTCGTTGGTTATAACTATACACTGCGTGTTATGACGTACTACTAGTGCTGGACACAAGAGCTTCGTTAGCTTAGTAGAGATGTAGTTTTGAATTGCTTATTCCACAGTTTGCAAACGCAATAAAAACTTCTTTGTTGTTGTTATAGTCGCATAATATTTTTAAAAATTATTGAAGTTTTATTGAATCTTTTTTCGATAAAAATAAATACCATACAAAGTTTTCATTTATTAGTATTTGTTATTAAAGTTCATAGTAACAGTAATTCAGTATTGCGTCATCGCATGTAGCCATAGATTATATAAAATAAATGTAGTCGTACTTTGATTATATTCTGCATTTTAGATGTTTTATTTTCTTAAGACTTAAACTTGGTCTCTATTTTTATATATTTCGAGTAAAGTTATATGTCCATTGCGATAGTAAAAGGGATTATTATGATAAGTGTACAAATCAATAAAACGAAAATAAGTTTAGGACCGTATAATACGTCACTACTCAGTTTTATATATGCTGACGTCAAACCAATATATCGTATAAAAGAAAATAATAATCTAAAGTTGTTAAACAACTGTTAAAATGACTCATCATTCATAATATAATATTTTCGCAATGAAAATATGACTTTACGAATATAAGTTTGCACTATTGGTCAAGCTTGGCGGCTTTGTGAGCAAAAGAAATTATTGAGATTATCTTTTAAATGGAGTTGTCTCACTGTTTTCTATGTATTAAAATGTATTTAGTATACTAGCTTTTAAAAAGTCTTTTTTACCAGCTTTTTAAAAGTCGATGGGATCATTCTCCTTTTATGAAGATCAGTGCAATTTGAGTACATCAGAAATAAATGTCTTTTCGGGCGTAGCGTGTTCCATTAAATTGTTTTTAATCTATATAATTTGTGCATTTCATGATACTTTCTACCAAAAATACCTAAATGAATTAGGTATACATTCATGAAAACAGTGAAACAATATGACAAAAATGTGTTATTAATATCTATCTCTGGTTTATAAATAATGATGATTTGGATTCAGTACAAGGAATTATTATTTAAAGTTTTGGAAATTCAATATTTTACTTTACATACCACTTTTTTTTTGTGAGGGAAAAATCATCAAGTTCCTGCCCAGGGTCGGGCGGGAGGGAGTGTCAGACTCTTACTGACTAAAAACCCCCTTGTTCCTTCTCCTGCTCTGGGCCGAAGTTGCGGTGCCTCATTGCGCTTACCCCGCAACTCCGGCTTACATACCAGATGAGATTTTAATAATACATAGTATATAGAATTCTTATTTAAACAGTGTTTTCAGATAATAACGTACCTTAAAATCTCTTTTTCAATTATTCGGTACTTATTATTTTCTTGCACTTTATACACGTCTCTTGTGGACTTAAACGTCATAATGTTACAATCTTTTATTTTTCTGAAAACACTGTCTTCATAAGTATATGTTCCTACGTTGATTTATATTCATATAATTAGATGTTAGATATATTTTTATAATTATTATTCTTATTATTTACATTGATTATTTAGATTATCGTTGTTGTAACTAGAATATTTTATTTTTATTATTATTTTGGGCAGCTTATCGATACTGATCGAAGTATGTTTTGTAAAATCACGTTTTTTTTACTTAGTAGGTTTTATGGTGATTTCGTCAGTATGTGGAGTCTACATGTTTTTTTGAAGTTTGATAAAAGGTCATCCCTTTATTACTATCTACGTATCTATAAGTTAGAGTGCAATATTTAGGATAATATTTAAAAAAATATGATTTTACGTCCTCTATCATGATAGAACATGGCAGTGTCATTCTTATGTGTCATTATGGACCTTCTCTACACAAGAAGGTTTACAATACACTCTACTAGCGACCCGCCCGGGCTTTGCACGTGTGCGTTGCTGAAACTACATTTCTCCACTATAATTATTATGTATGTTATTGACATACTAACCTTCCTCTTTAATGACAATATAAATTAATATAATCTGCATACATAGGGATATAGGGATAGAGAAAGCGACTTTGTTTTATACTATATAATGATTTTCTAGGCGAGTTGGAGATTAAAATAATGGAATAGATTTATGTTTATGCAAATGCACTGTTGCTCGTTGCTCGATCTTTGTCAAATGTATAAAAAAAAAACAATTTATAAATACTACTTTTTATCTTTTTTACATAATGTTCTTAACATGGTACAAAACATATTTAGGTCAGTGTCGCAAGTAATATTTTTTATTGTCAATGGTAGCTTTCTGATTTTATTTTATGACTGAAGGTGTATTTGGAATTTAATTGGAATGAACAATTGTGATTTAGAAACTATTTTAAAAGAAGTGATTAATATTTTTATCATGCTTGAAATATATTTATTTTTACGACAACAGAGGAAATAACAGCTGATGTTGATAATGATATGATATTGAAAATACATATAAGCTTGGGAAAGACATTTGTCAGTAGTTAAATATATATAAATCAGTATACACAATACATGTCTAAGACTTTGATAATATAATTGTTTGAGTATGCCTTAATTAGTAAAGGCCTGAAAATATCACATATTAAAATGGAATTAACAACATTCGATTAGATTCAAGTAGCAATAGAACGAGCCTCATTTTATTTAAGAAGTATAATTAAATATTTATTTTACGCTCAAATCACGTCATTCTTAAAAATCCTCTGAATTTCAAAATACGACCTTATACTAAAAGAATAAGAATCACGATTGTTCATCACACAATATGTTTTAGTTAGCACGTCGCTTGGCTCACAATGCGGGTCAGTATCTGTTTTACTATCGATAATATGGCGGTGATAAATTTATTATACATAGATATATATATACTGTACAAAACACGTGACGTTGTCCTTTTGTCACGACCGAAACACATCCGCCATTAGTCATTGCACAGGTGACGGTTCGCCTATTGTTTCAATATACAGGTGTAATGGAAAAACTACATCGAAAAAGTTTATCTGTCATAGAACTGCAAGAGTCTCTGATGAAATTAAAGTACTTAAAAGTATTCTGAATAAATTAGTTTTCGTTCGTTGCTTAAATTAAGTATGTTAGTGCCTATTTCAATTTAATAAGTTTGTTTTCTTAAAGTTTCATATATTTAAAGATAGGTAGATTTTGACAGTCCTTGACTTCATTTATTATTCAAGGCCATGTCCTTGGCATATGGTATATCTAACCTAACCTTTTCATTACACCTTGAATAAAATATAAATATCATATTTAAACATTCCAAAAAGGTACTATATAAAAATTGAATTTATATACAGTACAAACGATTTAAATGAAATTATATTTACACATTATTATATTTTGTTGACGCACGAATTTTATAAATAAATTATTTTTGGTCCAAATGGTTTTCTTTTTGATTTACCCCCTGTTTTGGCATGGATTCTGCTTGGCTAATTAGCTTGATGTCTGCATGTTATGTAATTTTGTGGATTGGGCGAATAATGGAAATTGCTTATTAACTTGCTTGGAACTAAAGAGCATGGGATTGAAATTGTGTGAAAAACTACACCTAATGTTTGACTGATATTAATATCATAATCAATCCAGATACAAAATGGCGTATTTGTTTAAATTTTCATTGCAAAATAAGCTCTATTAAAATTCTAACAAAGCTTATATTACATTACCAGTTTAGTAATGTAGTTATAGAAATGTTTGAACCAATACGCTGTCGCATAGTATAACATAACATTTAGCGTAATTCTAAACTGTGGAATTGTTTGGTGGTTTAACAATGAAGTAAGTACGATATCAGGTGTTTAGGTAGCAAATAGTGATTGTGTACGATAACTGACAATTTATATCGGCATTTGATTGTATGCTCTTTATTACGACATTTTTATACACAAAAGAACGCATAAGTATTTCTGCCAAATTCTTAATTCTCAAAGTTGGGATTTTGAACGTTGTAACATAAAAAACAACCTGTACGTATATGACATGGAGCTCTTATAAAAAAGTAGTTGTTTAAATTCTTTTAGGGTGGTACCTAAGTCTAGATATTTCGTTTGCAATATTTTTCAATGATTTTGCACGGTACGGTGGCGTAACTATCCGCTAGTACAGTTGAAACAAACCGGTCCGATCGGCGAATGTTTACACACAGATCCTTAGTGCTTCGTTGTTATCCGACACGGCCGGTTGCGTGCACAGTCAGATTCGTTGATAATTTGGCCAATACATTATACAGTCGAAAAATACATCATACAAGTGACTTTTTACCCACGTCCGTTAATATAGTGACTGAAAATGTGTTATGGTGCTTGACTTATTAAATTAAGTGAGAAAAATCGACTCAATAATGAACGTTAATAGTGAAACACTGTTGGTACGTAGTGTTTGTAATTTCGGACGTGACTCAATAAGATATTGGTCATATATTTAAGCCCCCAATGAAGCATGAAATCTAGACATACAATATTCATAAATAATCGTCAAACTTAATGTAAATAATAAAGTATATGTTTGTGAATTTATTTAGATTCTAGTTTTAAATTCGGTTCAAATTAGGAATTTGAATTCAGAACACATTCTAAATTAAAACAAGTTTTTTTTTAAGATTGAACAAGCAAGAGTTTATTAACATAGAGTTTGCAACAGATTATAAAGATATCAAATTATTGTTTTGACCAAGCTTTGAAAACAGAGAGGTAATGTTTGCTTAGTTATCACGCGCGGTAGTTATCTTACGGTTAGTCACACGGTAGATAGATAATATAAACAATATGAACACCTACTTATAAGTATAAAGTAAACCAGTTTACCGGGTGAAGAGAGTAGAAAAACATAGCAACAGGGAAAAGTAGGTTTTTTAATGTAATTCAATAGTGTACAAATTATAGCTTCCTATTTAATATTGATGTATGTTTCCACAGCACTAGTAGGTATTGAGAATTTGCATAGGCATGTTAATTTGAAATAACAGTTATTTTAGTTTTAGGACCTGCTTATGCTTCTGTTGAGGGATAATTTGAAGTATTTTCTTTACGAAATCAGTGTTTTTTAAGAACTTAATCAGACATTATAAAAATAACCGTTACTTTATATTTGTAAAGGCGTCCCTATACACCAGGGTTGAGACTAATGTGTGTGACGCATTTGCACTTCTATGGCCTTATCCACCCTTCCAGGGATCTCAATTTAAAAGGCCAATTATGGCACAATTTTACTACAAATAAATAACATATTACAGGAAAAAACAATGGAGTTAGAAAGCCGGATTGAAAGTTTAACGCAAGAGAACAAAGAGTTGATGGAAGCACTAGAAAATGAGAGGTCGCTAGTTAAGATTTTGAGGGAAAAGGTGGATAAATCCAATTTACTCTGTGACGAGAGTAAAGCGGAGGTTAACCACCTCAATTCCATGGTGACGGAGATGCAACACGACTTCTTGGATATGCAAAGGAAGTTTGACAAGTAAGTTTACTTATCTTTGTTTTGTTTTGAAATTAATATGTTACGATTAGTGTTCTGTTAATTTGTTTTTAATTGGGAAAACTACCAATGGCTTGTGTTGTCCACATCGTGTTTTGCTCGGTTGGTAGGAATGTGATGTTTTTTTTATGTGATAGGTCGGCAAACGAGCAATCGGATTACCTGATGGTAAGCAATCAGCGCCGCCCATGGACACCCGCAACGACGGAGGAGTTACGAGTTGCGAATCTTTTGGGGATTAGGGATTTGGAGATTTTGGGGATTGGAGGAGGGGAAGGATTAAACCTCTAGTAACCTCACTCACATAGCGAAACAACGCTGTGGTTGTTTCACGCCGGTTTTCTGCGAGGCCGTGGTATTATTTCGGTCGAGTCGACCAGTTCGTGCCGAAGCATGGCTCTCCCGCACTTTTTACAAAAAATAATGTAAACACACCTTCAACAGGAAGATGTTAGGCACGATTCTTTTATAAGAAATAAATAGGCCATATCCAAATAAGTCAGCTCCATGCTCTGACAGTAGTCATCATAATACTGCAATTTTATATCTTAAGCATGACAAACAAGATAATTTTCGTTTTTCTTATGTCTTCCGCTCTTTATTTACTCTAGCTGCTCGGCAAATGAGGCAGTCTTTAAATATAATACGGTATAGACGGTTATAATCTTAAACAGTAGTTGTATGCATGTGAAAAGATATTTTTATCCCAACGTTTATCGCTTATAGTCTCATTGCCGGCGTTAATTGATGGGGCGATGGCCCTGGTCTGAATTTGGAGTCTCTTGCCACTCCTGGTGCAAACCCTCAGAATTGTGCACTACGCTCTGTGCATATGCATATTTTTTATTGAGTATTTTTTTTAATTTTACTTGGGATCACCAAAAAACTAACACTTGATATTGTTTCCCTCAAGTGGGCGCCACAATATTTTCGCCAGGAGTGTCTGACCCTTACACCGACACTGCTGATAGCCTGTTAAGTTGAGGTTACCTTCTAAAATATTTTTTCCTCTTCAATCTTTGTATGTAAAATGCCAATTAATCTACATTATGTATCAACTCTGTGAACAGAATCACACAACGTTCTTGAAATTGATCAATTTTAATTAAAGCAATGTTACTGTCGTGAACATTGTTAAATAAGTGTTTATTTTCAACACATTATGTGAAGGCGAACAATCAATACTGCTTTTTCGTGACCTTGAAATATAAATGCCATGTAATTATGTATTGTTACTTTATATAAACGTCACGTTTTAGTTTCAGATCAAGTGATTTTGTCGGTAAAACCGTTTCTTAAGATAAAATATGTATTTTGATAACAAGATTATGTTATCAGTAATAGGTATTTATAAACGAAGGCAATGGTTACCGCTTTTCTCGTTTAAAAATCTATGGGAATATTTTTGATGTTTCATATTTTTTTGTCAATGTTTAATATTTGGGATTACAGAAGTAGGATGAAATTCAATAATCAAATACATATCATAAACCAAGCAGTTCATATATTTTACCCTAAGCACGACAATTAACGATCCGTTTTTATTAATTAAGAACTAAGTAAGTACTGCCTGCGGCTTCACTCGTAGATCCAAGGTAAAATTAGCCGCTGTAGACCAGCCGGGGTTGCGGGGTAAACGCAATGAGGGACCGCGGCCTAGGCCCAAAACAGGAGAAGCAACGTGGGGTTTTAGTCAGTAAAAGTCTGACACTCTCTCTCTCCTTACTTTTGGCGAGAGAAGCCATTTGATGATTTTCTCTTGACAAAAAAAGCCTGTACAGTGTACACATCCATTTCTATGACTTTCATTCAAATCCGTTCGGTAGTTTTTACTTGAAAGAGTAACAAACATCCATCTAGCAGTTCCATCCATGAATTTCAAATACAATTTTACCACCTAATTAACGCTTAAATTGTTTGTTTTAGAGAAAAACGCGAAAAAGACGAAGCTCTATTGAGAAACGCTCACATGTCACAGACAATAGAGATGAGTCAGTGCAATGTGCGTTATCAGGAGACAGAGATAGCAGAGCTGAAGAGCAAGATAGCAGAATTGGAGGGACTCATCGCACAGCACAAAGAGGTAAACACCATTGTCGTAATTACCATTACCGTTATTGTTTAGGTAAATTTTATTACGTCAGCTGATGTGCTTTATAGTTTAAGAATTATTATTATTATATTTGACAGTGTATTCGACTCGGAGTCAGGGACCATGAGTCAATGACAATCAGCCCATAGGATTTGTCCAGGCTGATCAGTGTCAGTGAGTCTGATCTCTGACTGATAGTCCCAAACCACACATCACTCTCGCAAATATTTCTTAGCTTTACACCTTACATACATCTGTTTTAAATAAATAAATAAACATTATGACATGTCATATACGGATCAGGAAAACATCGTGGCAATACCTGGACTTATAATTCGAGAGTAAAGTCATTCTTTCTCCTTGTGAAAAGAGGCCTTTCCTCAGCTTACGCATTTATAGGTTAACAAAACTAGTATTAACTATATTTTTTATCAATGAGAAATTTTCCTCTTGGGTTTTTCCTAACTTGCATTTTTCCATTATACATTTCTTTCGAAATTGCTTGCAAATTTTCCTCAATAAATGTGTCTTTATACTATATATCAGTATCTACCTGGAAATATGAAGCACACCGTTCGCGTTAAGATTTCATTATATTCACCATATATTTGAAACTAATACCGAATGAGACTTTCTCAAAAATAATCATTTAAAATTTTCAACGCAATAAAATGTTACAAAATAATCTCACAAACTTAGTGAATTTCCAATACACTTACAATATGATAATGCAGTTTGTTGCTTTTCGCATTAAAAATACACGACGTCAAAATTCATAGAAATCTGTCGATATTGATAATTCGAAAAAATAATTTTGATTTTACTAGTCATATATTTTAAATTAATAACAATAATCACTACAATAGTGCCAAGTATCATATTCTGCAACCAGTTATAATTCCTAAAGAGCATGAAAACTCCCAAACTTATCCTTGAACTCGTAGGCTACGCTAGCGGAGGATTTGACCTCTACAGTAATCGGCAGTAGTCGGCAGTATACCAATATCTTTAAAAATGTTTACATATTATATTGTTTTCTAATTTATATTTCACATTTTACAGAATCAAGCTGCATGTATGTTAATTAAGGAAACGGAGGAAGCACGGAAGCAGGAGATCGAACAACTTAAGAAGAAAATAGACGAATTAATAGAAAACGAGACTGCACTCAAAAAGACTATACAAGACTTAGAAACTGAAATCTGTGATAAAAATAAGGTAAGCTTATCAATTTATTACTTTAATCAGAGCCTCGTCTCAGCTCAGCATCAGCTCACGATGCTAAGAATCGACCTGACATATAGACAGAGACTAGGCTACCTGAAATTAACAATTAGGTCGATCAATAAATACACAAATTCAAATTTTGGAAAATTATAGCGTAAGCAGACGCACTCTACTCGCAGACGACATAATATGTAGTCGTGTGTTCTTCGGACACCTCAGAAACACCCAGTTAGTTAAACTGGTTGTACACTGACTCTTGCGTGCCTTTCTTTAGAACAAGCCCTCTTAAACTGCTGTGGTTCTTTCCTTAAAAGACCTCAGAATGAACTCGCACGGTTCTCTCACATTATATTATTTTACACATTGTCTTGACTTGAAAAGAGACGGACCTCTGAGTTGGTTTCGGCATTTCTTCTCAGAGTAGTAGTCAGATAGGAAATGCGGGCTTCATCTAGTTTTTTTACATATAATTTTGACGTCTTAAAGTGTTGTTTAATGGCCTATTTACAAAAATAAATTCATTTTTCATAGATTCATAAAAGTAGTTTGTCAGCGCTGCTAATAGCCTGTGAGGATAATGTTTTGTTCAACAAATGTTGAAGTTTATCAGACATCCTAGTCCTTTAGTCGTTCCTTAAGAGTCTTATGACACCCACAGCCTCGGAGGCCTATCCGAATTTCTTACAATAGGTACGAATTAACGGCAAAGAAACATGTTTATGTAAATTCATGAATGAATTAATAAATAATCTACATTCTTAAAAACACACTTGACAAGTTTTATATTAAATCTTGAATGATATACCCACGTGTCACTGATTGATGTTGGTGGTTTATTTGCAAGTGTCTTATGAAATTTAAGATAAATGTTATTCGTTAGTCCCTTCATGTCCCTTTGAGGACCGATTAAGCGAATTTTGGTCTTGAAATATTCGTGGAAGTTCAGGGAGGGTTTAAAACTCAGAAAACGTGAATAAAGGGCAAAAAAATACATAGCTATATGTGAATAACGTAATAGTTACAATTTATTTCCTATTAAGTAGTAAGTGTTATTATAGATGTATTTTGACTTGAAACATGTGTGTTAACAGTAAACTTTGAGAACAAAGTTAATTTTGAAGTAGTATGGAGCTCGTCGGGTTAGCTAGTTACCATACCTATTAATTAATTTAGTAGATACGTTTTGTAGTAAATGTAGTTTTAAAGCGCTAAAGTATGATACCAAATACATTTTTATTTATTATATATTTGATGTTTTTTTACACAAGTGAGTCTATAAAACCAATTTATACCGTTACTTTCGTATATTTATTATAGATTGAAATAAGTTTGAGGGTTATAATCAATTTGTTATATAGTAACAACATGTATTTTCATCTGAAAATCGACCAAATAAATTATTCTTTGTTATGATAAAGCTAATGAATCTGACATTAATAGAAAATGTTTTATATTGTTTTCAGAAAATAAAAACGTTAGACAACAGAATATCGGACATGAAGAAGACACTACAACGAGAGTTACAGAGCAGTAAGTCTGATCTGACGTCGGCAGAGGAACAGGACATCAGCAGACGGTGGGATATAATTTATATATTTATTTTTATTTTACTTCCCATGGGGGTTCACAATCATAAACGCCTTACATCAAGACTGATTGGTTTTGTATTATAAAATTTTGCTTTTCTTTACCTTTTTTGTGTGGGGAAAATCATCCAATGACTTCTCCCGCCCAGCGTTGGGCGGAAGGGTGTATCAGACTCTTAGTGACTATTCCCCCCCCCTTTCCCCGGTTCCCCTGGCTGAACATCGGCCCCCGTCGGTGGAGGTCTATTGATTCTTTGAGGCGCGCGCGGTACGTTACGCGCTTTCCGGACGGGTTGCTTTTCTTTACTTTACCTAGCATCTAAAATATAAGGCCGCTTCGGTGCCATGTAAGCGTTGGCGTCTCCAAACGTCCAACGTCTAAACTAAGCAGTAAAATATTTCAATTACAACAAATGTTTCATATTGGACACAGAAAAATGAAGGCGTTAGAAGACTGGAAAGAGAAACACCGATATTATATTTCGTGGAAATCCATTTGTAATAGTTACTCATACTCGTATCACCATATCATCATCATCAGCCTATGAGTGCCCACTACTGAGCAAAGGCCTCTTCTCACACAAAGAAGGTTTAAGCAGTAATCACAACGCTTACTTAAGACGCATTGGTGATCAAAATGGTAGATAGACATCATACTTCCAGGTTTCGAGCAGATCTCAGAAAGTACATATTGACCGTTCAGATACAGATCCACTCGGAAAACGTCATTGGTACTTGCCAGGTTTGGAACCCTCATGCATGAGAAGCGGGCGCCTTAACCTTCGGGCCACCACGATGTCTGTAATCAAGTGAATTAAATGAATAGTTATTAATCAATTTGTTTATTATTTCCAGGTACTTAAAACACGTGGTGCTTCGTTTTCTAACGGCGCGTGAGTTGGAAGCGAGACAGTTGACTCGCGCCCTCGCCGCCCTCCTACGACTGTCGGCGCACGAAGAGGCCTTACTGCGAGCAGCCCTCCCGCCTCGCACTGGCCTGGCAGCTTGGTTCCCGTCTCTGAACACCTGATCCGTCTAAACAGAGCATTGGAACGTATGTTTAAAAGTAAGAACGCTTAAAGATGAATTCTCATTAATAAAAATGACGTCTCAACGATTTTCTTTGTCCATGAAAAAGGAAATTATTGTTGTAGTTGTGATGTATGCGGCTCTATCATAGTGTTCATATGTCTAGTTATATGAATGCTATGGAAGTGGGTTTTAAAATATCATGTCTACCTACTCCAACGGGATAAAGGCGTAAATTCACATTACACAATGTTATAGGGCAGGGAAAGAGTTGAAAAAGGACTTGAGAATTCCTGTGTCGTTTACGTTGACAAAAACATTGCAATATAATGTAGATACTTATTGCTTTTATATGTAAATTTGTACACATGTGAAAATTAATTATTGTTATTTATAACTTATATTTATGATGATAGCACATTATGATGATTTTATAAATTATCCTAGTTAATATATAGACGGTTATGGACACTCGACAAATATGAGCGAAATTGTTTGTGTCTAGCTTTTATATAAAGAATGTGTGACTGTAGTTACTAAACGCCATCTTTTTTGGATATTTCTAACGTAACTTCCAAAAAAAAAAATAAGTCATTTCAATCCAGAATATCTGAATCTAGTGCTTAATGCAAGTTTGAATAACATTAACGCGATCGAAACACATTTAGCTCTCTGATTGGTTGGCCGATTTCGAGGAAGCCAATCAGAGCGTTAGACGTCATAAACTAGTATATCGTGCTGATGAAGGCGTAGTCGCACTAGTCATTCCTTCCTTTACACCCTAAAACATATGTTTGAAATTTTCTTTTAACAGTTGGTAAGTACCTTCTTAGACCAAGCTTTACTTAAACCATACGGGTTTGTCTAGTTTTCGTATTCTTATGTTGTCTATAATTTATATATAAGTATTATATATTATATTTATATTATATGTACCTATATAAAATCTTTGTGACGAGAGATGAACGTAAACATGTTTCGTATTAAAAGGGAAAATCATAAAATTCACTTCAATCATCATAAGGACGCGAATCTAAATGGTAATAATAATTAAATATAATTTTATTCTATCTCAACTTTGAAAACGAAAATCATGGAAACGTTAAAAATATCGTGTTCACAATCAAAGAATCTCTACTCAAAATTAATATTCTAATATATCGAGTTACCGACTTGTGACCTCTTATTTTACCATTAGGTAATTTCATTTGTCATCAACTTGCGCTCTCACCATGTAATTTGCTACGTCTTAAAATTATTAAATACTACGTAGAGTACTTACCTTAGTACCTACTTCAAAATTTCTATAAAATATTGGCTTTCGTTTTTGCTTGGGGGCTAGTGTGAAGCTCTTGTGCTTTGCCCAATAGGGAGTTAGCTAGTCTCACAACATTGGACATTCAATGTTTGACAGCTACAGTGATTGGACCAACTAACATCTACTTGAATTAGCGCCACCTAGTGTGAAAAAAAAATGTTAGACCTAACTGGATTAAACCTCCTTTAAATTATATCAGTGAATATCTAAAATATGTTTTTATAGCTGAAATTTGATCTCGATTATTATTTTTTAGTTTCTTACTTTAAAATTTTTAATATTGCGATCAAAGAATATTTGACATTCACACACCAGATTCAAATCAAAATTTTAATGTATACTATCGCTAGATTGCCCTAAACTCAACATGAATGGATTATTTTTATACAACGCATCACATCCACAGATATTGAACATCTTATTTTGACAAATACATACCGTATTACGCAATATCATAAGTATTATATTGTATTTTGAACAACCGTATTGTTATCTACATACACATGTGAAATTTTAATTAAAGTTGCCTTAATAGCTGCTAGTCATTATTTAATTAACAGATTGTATTAAATTATGACAACTTTTTAAGCTTGTAATGTATTGGTCGTCTTATTGTGTACATCAACCGAAATGAACCAAAACTAAATTTTCTTGAGTGGAAAATCATCAAATGACTTCTCTCGCCCAGGATGAGGTGGGAGGGGGTTTCAAACTCTTACTAACTAAAAACCCCAGCTCCTGTTCCGGCTCTAAGAGAAAACCGCGGTTATTTAGGGCGCTAGCCCCGCCACCCTAGCTAAAATTTTCTTTTTCTGAGATATATAAACCATTAAATTCAATTAAAATGTTCTTTCAAACACTCCAAAAATATAGCTTAACATAACAAGTCAGGCTCTTACAAAAATTAACATCAAAATTGGCGCAGTTGTTTAGGAGATTAATGTCAACACAATAAACAACTTTTAGCATTTGGTGTACACAATAGAAGCCATAGTTTGTGTTGTCAATTACGTTACGAGCGACACTAGAATTATGTTGTTGATGCGTCGTTGCAATTTCGCCTCATGAAGTTGTATTAGTATTATAGTCTGAATATTTTAGAAGAATATTATTGTAAATGTACCTATAGAACATAGTGTCAAGTGATAATATAATTACACTGCCCCTTTGTATTTTGTACAGATAAATAAAGCTTTCATTGGTGAAATTAATAATAATGTTGGATTAATTCCTATGTGTAACGGCTTACTTACGAAACTGACGAGGAACTCGGTTATTTTTAAGCCATGCTACGGGCTCATATTCTGAAGCAGCATTCGTTTGTCGAAATTCTGTCTAAAACAGTTACGTCAGTATGCCATTAAAAATAAAAATAAACTTAATGTGTCTCACGAAAATTATTACTTACACAAAATATTGTTATAGTTACAATTTGTATAGTGTATCGTTAGTTTTCTTCATAACTTCGCTATTTTTACTAAATAGTTAATTAACGTTAGTTCAGCGACTGCGCAAAAGATATGTATTGGGTATTTTTCGAAGTAAAAAAGTAATTGTTTTGACGTTTTTTAATGTCATAAGTATTAAAAAATATTCACACTTTCAGGTATTATTTTACAATAAATTTATAGTCCTTATTTAAGCTAGCATTTTTATGAAATAAGTGCCGATGCTGTTTGATGGATAAAAAAGAGACGTGAAAACAGAGTAAAAATATTTAGAGAACTGTCGATTGCAACTCGCAATAAGTATTGGATTTCACTATTTTAGTAGCTTTGAAGTACCTGAGGAAAACAAAAAAAAGTATAGATCCTTTTTTACCTTTTTTTTTGGTGCTGATAGCCAGCCACTCTGTTGACTGTCATTTTATAAAATAGTATACTACAATAACAATGTACCATTGATAATGTCAAGGATATACAGCCGCGTCAGGATAATGCCAACCAATCCCAAACTTTTTCACTTTTGTAAGAATATTGAAATTTAAAGCACACACAGTAATGGCGATGTAAGTTCTGGCATTTTTATTGTGTTAAAATTAAAATATTTAATGTTCGATAGTGATTTGTATACCATTCCATAAATTAGAGACGCACTGTCAATTGGTCGCATTTGTAATCTATGTAGATATGTGGTGTGTATTCTCAAAGATCTGCGGAAATCGATATTGTACATTATAGACCTTAGCTACTTTAATATAGAGTTTATTATATTTTGTTGTTACATAGAACATTATTTTTCGCTAGTATTCACAGTATTTATTTTGTAAGATGCCCCTTTTACTGTAATTGGTTTAGTGATTAACTTTATGTAACATAAAGATAAAAGATATTTTCTATTTGTTATTTTTGTTTAATTTTTATCTTATATTTATGTTGTTATTTAAATAAAGTTATGATAAGTAATTATTATTTGTGTTTTATGTTTGAAAAAACCCTCATAAATTCTCACCCATTTCTGTCAAGATTCAATATAAAGGTCTAAAAATTTAAGACGCCTGGACTAGGACCATACCTATATAAAAGTACCTATTTCAGACGAGAGCTGAATATATATTTTTTTATTATTAATAAGTGAGTATCTTATCGCTAGATAGTAAGCAATTGGCGCCGCTTATGCCAACATCAATCATCATCATTTTGTGAGTTAAGGATTTCAGAGATTTGATTTGATAACTGATCCAAACCGCTATTCAGCTTCAATCTCGTAGGTCGTAAATACAGACTTCACCAGACATCCATATTTACCACACTCCCTACCTGTTCCGAGCATCAAGAGGACTTTTTGTCTAATGATGAATGATGGAACCATTTCGCGTTGCCAATGGGCACCAGAACCGTTACAGGTGCGTTATCAAGATTTAGGAACGAGAGATTTGACGACTGGAGGACTTGGGAATGAGGATGGTGAGGACTGTAAGGCCGTGGTTTCAATCCAGTCGAGCCGGTTCATTCTTGCCGGACATAGTAGCGATTCAGCAGATTGTGATGGGATGCGAATTTTTGGCATCATTTGCTTGGCAGCCTGTTTGTTTCCCATCTAACGACATGTCAGCCCTTGCTAATGCCATTATGGAGGTTGTGTCAACTGGTTGGTCAAGGGGGCGTTTAACTTGTAAATAAAGATTGAGTTTTAGATATCACGCAGTCATGTGCTAAGCAGGAAGCGAAGCGCATGTGAGAACTATTCTCTTCACGCCCCAACTGCCATAAAACTACGTGGCAAATATGTAGCATATTTTGTTGGTACGCGCCCATGACTCACTGATTGTGGAAGAGCTGGAACATGTTGTAGGTATTGCTGGCACGACATCATGAAAGATCTTTTAACCGGGCCGTCAAATTATGCAAAAAGGCCCGATTTAGCCAAATTGGCTGACCAGAGAACAAAGCTTCTTACTCAGTCAATAGTATTTAAAAGATTTGCGCGTGAATTAACGGATGTGTCGTACCTATAGATCGATGGCAACTCTTAAACAATTCAATATCAACACCGGAATTCCTCAGTGGTCAATAAGTTCAACAGCCCTTGGGCCGGCAGTTGAGAGGCTAGGAAGGTAGTTAAAGTTATGACATATCACAGATATGGTCTTTAATATGTGGTTGAAAATTTGACCTCGTAACTGGATGTTAGGAAGCATAAGTTCGGTCGAGGGTGAGGGCGTAGATTATGTAATTGCTGAACTATACTCGGAATTTTAATTCCATTCCAGATTTGACAATTTCAGTGTTGCAACGTAACAACGTGCAATAATTTCGCAACGTCACTATTTAGTTCGATATCGATCGAGTGATCGCAACGTTGCGAAATTATTCGATATGGAAATCGAATATTTCTGAATCGATTCCTCTCGTTTATAAATTTACTCTCGTAGACTAAGTTTATCAGGAAATAAAATATTTCTGAACCGATAATTTAGTTTTGACAATTAATTAACGATCTGAGACTTTTATTTTGTTATTGTGTGTAAAATTAATAAAGAATGTGATCATGAAGGAACAATGCAAATAAAACAGACATTTTATAAATTGTCGCCGTCATCGCTATCGCTGTTACTTTCTGTAACATTTATTATGAATTGTGTCTGTGATATTTATTGTCAATTAACATATCTAGCTTACTCTTTTTTCCCTCTTCTTTGACAACATGGGATACGTATTTAGACCATTCGGTAGCCGTAATTTTTTGAA